TTATTATTCATGTAACACAAAGTTCAAGGCAAGGCAGCCCCTGGTTGGTTATCTTAGCGACTCCAAAGTGTCATCAATGCCGGTCCTCCCGTTTGTTCACTTTGTCAATTTTGAGGAGTGAACTCATTCCCCTCATGGTCACAAGGTCAGGCATAACATTTTCAGAAGCCACTGTCAAAAGCCAGAAAAGGAACATTTCTCTCTTGTGTTTCTTTTTTATCCAGAATGAGAAACTTTTCTAGAAGACTTCGCTGTCTCATTGGCCATAAATGGGTTACCACATCCAACCCTTAACCAATTCCTTGGTCCCAGGCAAGGTATCAAAATTACAAGCTTAGGTAATTATGAAAGAGTGACAGAGAACATCTGGTTAGAGGAAAGCCACCAAAAAGCCCCTAAAAAGAAACAAATAAAAACCACTTCTGCCTAACATATTATCAGCTTGAAAGCCAAAAAACGGGTGAGCTTTTGACCATATAAACCAAACCTCTGAGCTTCAGTTTTTTTTTTTCAACTCATCCAATTGCTTTCTTTGTATTACATAAATTAAAATAGAAATAAAACAACTAACTCATCAGAGAGATACAAAATATGTTAATCTCGTTTCCCTGCAAATGTGCAAAATAATAGTAAATTAATGAACAAGTTAAGGCTAAATAGTAGAAATTTAAAAATTTTTTGAATAACCTAGATTTTTTGATATTCCATTTCAAACTCGGCAAAGAACTCCTAACATGATTTTGAGGAATCTACAGCAATAACAATGCTTTAGAGAATTCTAATTTTGTTATTTAAAATCACTTATAAAAGTACAACAATCTGTTTTAAAAATGTAGGTAGATGCAATATTATATATATGGAGAACAAGAGAAGTATAGTCTCTGAAATCCTATAATTTTTGTCACCATTTATTCATTTGTTTCTAACACATTCACATAAGCTTTATACAGTATACCACATACCATTCTAGTGTATGCTCGTAATGTCCGACTCTGGGATGAGTTGAGCAAAACCTGAGAAGTAAAGGTCTTTGCTTTTTCCAAATCACCTCTAAATTCTTGCTTTTACCAATGAATATTGATTTGGCTATTAAGTTTCAAACTAATGCCTTATCCCTGAAACTCAACTATTTCATTATACTCATTTTTCCCATGTATGAAAAAAGAAATCAACCCTTTTGGAGCAGGAAATGGCAACCCACTTCAGTAATCTTGCCTGGAGAATTCCATGGACAGAGGAGCCTGGCAGACCACAGTCCATGGAGTCGCAAAGAGTGGGACATGACTGAGCGACTTAGCACCACCTTTTAGATGCTTTTCTCCATTACATCACTAGATGGCAACCAAAGAATCTATTTCCCTACAATGGACCGGAGAAAAAGTACAGCTCAAATAGCACCTCTTCACAGAGTAAAAGGGACAAGGTCTCTGCTGTCTCTTCATTTTCTATTTTATTTATCTGTTATTTCGCCAAAGATGCACAGATGTTTTTCATTATCACTTGGCACGCACAGTAAATTTTAAAAATAGTCTTTTCAAGTCCACTACAATTTCGTAAAGCTCTTTACTTGACAGTAAGTCATTTGTAATCCTCTATTTTATAAACAGCAATTATTTATTTTGTCCTTTTCTTACTCTATACATACACTGCTCCACTTCTTTAGAAACACTGGGTCATTCTCTCGAGAATTAGAGTTACCGAATGTCATCCCTGCATTCACTGCTTAACATTCTGCTACAACTTTCTTCAAAGTGTATCCTAGAAAATTCCCCCACTGCACATCTGCCTTCCAGTTATTTTGGAGTTTTCACAACACTGATATCTTCTTTAGGTGTTTACACCATGATAAAGTCTAGGGAACTAATATATGTATGCTTGCTCTAATAAAAAAGAGATTATCATTTCCCAAGTCCTGTCTAGGAAAGGAAAAAACATACATACACACACATTGGAAAGAGAAATTAGTTTGGCAGTGGATCAAATTCCAACTAAAGAATTATGAAACCTTTTTTCCTTCTTCTGTATACTGTACTAAAACTTGGGGAAGTTATGCTGTCAAATAATTAGTCAAGGAGTAACTGCCTGATTCATTGAAATTATTTTTGTGGGTAAAATTTGAAATGTATGTGCATTTATTTATATGTGTATGAATGCATGTATATTTACACACACATACAAATATAAAATCTTTCTCTGTCACTTCCACACCCAATATCACAGCCACTCAACTGCAGAACAGAGCTCTTCATGGGACTTCACTTTACAGACTTGAATTGGGATCTTGGATCCATTTTCCTAACTGTCTGTTTTTCTTTCCTGTGGATTACGCCTGCAACTGAAAGTTCACCATTTTCCCCATTGTATATGGACCATAATTAAGGATGTTTTTCACAGACAAAATCTTCCTTGAACCCAGATGTTGATCCTTTGGCTCCTTACAAATTACGTATCCTTGCATGCCTGAGGTGAAGGTAGAGTTTCTGCACCCATTTATTTTACAAAGTCCGTGTGTCCTACAGTTTTGCTTTTCATTTATTTACATTATCCATAACATCTCCTGGATACTGAGGGTTGGCTTGTACTCAGGTTTTGAACTTGTTCATTTGGTTTCTTCATCTCCATTTATTGAAAAAGGTATTAAGTGATCAGGGAGGTGACTGCAGCGTTATTAAGACACACCCTTGCTCATTTAGGTTATTACAGAGTATTGAACAAAATCCCCTGTTCTGTAAGCAGGTCTTTGTCTTAAATACAGCAGCTTGTACATGTAACCTCCCAATCTCCTCTCCCCTCGGAAAAAGACTCGCCCTTTAGACACAGAGGTGTGAAACTTTTCTTTGGAGAGAATACAATGAATTCTGTGACATGTCTTTTTCCATAATCAATTAGAAGAAATGCCCCTGACTACAAACTGGAAAGTTTAAGATCAAACAATCAAAGGCTTGTTTCTACTCAGAAAACTTGGAGAGCTGTAGAAACTCCTAGTTGGAAGAAGCATGGTGTCATACAATCCGACCCTAGTTTGTGAACTGGCGTTCAAGAAGGGTAGGTCTGGACTCCTGAATTACGCCCTCTGGCAAGCCTGAATCTTGGTTTTGCTATCAGTGTGTGGCTGTGGTGGCTAGGTGGTCCTCGCACGGGCAGGAAGGAATAAGAAAATTTTCAGTGTGAAACGCTGTGTTCGAAATGCTCAGCATGGTCCCAGGAGCCAGACACCTTGTACTCACAATTCTTCTGCCCCTCATTAATTACATGACCTTGGGCAAAGGACTTCCTTTTGTCTGTCTCAGTTTCGTTATCTGTAAAACGGGGGTAATAGTAATAACCTCCTCCCAGTTTTGTTGCAAGGATTGAGTATGTCAATGCGCGGAAAGCATTTAGAATAGCCCCTGGCACTGAGTACAGACCGTTCCTGACGGAAAGATGGTTCAGCTTGCAATTTTTTGACTCAGACGGTGTGAAAGTGATATGCATTCGGTAGAAGCTGTTCTCTGAATTCTGGTCTTTTCCTAGGCTAGTGATAATGCAGTAAGATACTCACGATGTTGGGCAGTGGCAGTGAGCTGTAGCTCCCAGTGAACCACATAATCAGGAGGGTAAATAACTGATACGCTTACAACCATTCTGCATTCATACAGCCATTTCATTTTTCACTTTCCGTATAGTATCCAATAAATTACATAAGACATTCAACACTTTATTATAGTGTAGATTTTGGGTTAGACGATGTTGCCCAACTTTGTGCCCAACATATGGGCACTTATATGTGCCCGATATAAGTGTTCTGAACACACTTTGGGTAGGCTAGACTGTATTAAACAGTCTAGACTGCTAGACTGTTTGGTAGGTTAGATGTATTAAATGTATTTTTGACTTAATGGTATTTTCAATTTATGGTGGATTTCTTGGCTCATAACCACATCATAAGTTCAGGAACATCTGTAATGATAACTTTGTTCTCATTATATTATTTATTATTCAGGAAAAAAACAAACTCATGAACAATATATTATCCTAATTTAAGAAAAGAAAACTGAGACTCATACAAACTAAATATCATGTCCAAGTTGAACAGAGCTGGCGAGTGTTAGAACTGAAATTCAAATCCAGACCTGATGACTTCAAGCTCATGTTCCTTACACCTTAAGAAGGTGCTTGAACACCTCAACTAATGCCTGGAATGACTACTTACAAAGGCAAGAATTTTTATCACTGCATACTCCTGACAAATAATAGTAAAGTGTGATGATAATTTATAAAGCAACTGTTGAAAGACCATTTTTTGAATCCTTACTGATGCCAGTTGCTACCTGTAACACTTTGAATACACTGTTGACTCATTTGATCATTATGATAAGTCTGCAAGTTAGCTGTTATTTTCCCCTATTTATCAGACAAGGAAATTGAGGCTCAGAGTGGTTAAATATGTTGCCAAACTTACACAATTAGTAAGCGCTGGAACAGGTATTTGAACCCCTGCCTTTCCAGCTGCATCATTTGTGTCCTTAACTACTTTCTTGAGATTCTGTTCATGGCTTCTGGTCTTCCTCAAGATCTTAATGAATCAAACACTTAATTTTCTAGGTCAAGTTAATTTCTGAGTTATTTGGAAAAAGAAATGAAGTTGCTATTTCCTAGGTTAAACATCCAAATTCCTTCAACAAACCCAGAGAGTGGACATGACCTCAGACAGGGGACATGATCTCATCTTGAGGCCTTTCAGCAACAAAGTCACTCTTCTCTGAATTCACCATTGACATCTTGGTTACTCGAAGTGTGATGTGCTGAACTGTATTAAAGAGAGACAGACAGACAAAACTAAAAAGAGACAGAGAGAGAGAGAGAGAGGGAGAGGACATCCTACAGCAGGAGGCCTACTTTGACCTCCACCCACAGGTAGTAAGAGCTTCTAAATAGGTCCACATGGATGACTGTCATTTTAGAGTTGCAGTCTGTTTTCTGTTTTAAGACCTAACATAGGGATTTCCCTGGTGGTCCAGTGGTTAAGAATCAACCTTGCAATGCAAGGAACACCAGTTCGATCCTGGTCTGGAAGAGCCCACAAGCCGCGGAGGAGCTAAGCCCATGTATAACCACCGAGCCCGTGATCTGGAGCCTGGGAGCTGCAGCTCCTGGGCCCACGTGCCGCAGCTGCCGAAGCCCACACCCCGGAGAGGCTGTGCTCGCCAACGAGAGAAGCCACATCAAGGAGAAGCCACAGCGACGTGAGGCCCACGCGCTGCAACTAGAGAGCTCGGGGCGATTCGAGAAAAGCCTGCGCAGCAACCACACGGCACAGTCAAAAAAAGGATAAATCTTTTAAAAATTAAAAAAAAAAAAAAGGTAACATTATAGAGGAGGTTTTGTTTTGGTTTGTTATTCAGTTATTTCTACCTTTGTGGTTTCATGGTAGCCTGTGCAGTGTGAAAGTCGCTCAGTTGTGTCCGACTCTCTGCGACCTCATGGACCACACAGTCCATGGCATTCCCCTGGCCAGAATACTGGAGTGGGTAGCATTTCCCTTCTCCAGGGCATCTTCCCAACCCAGGGATTGAACCCATGTCTCCTGCATTGCAGGTGGATTCTTTACCAGCTAAGCCACAAAAAAGCCCAAGAATACTGAAGTGGGTAGCCTATCCCTTCTCCAGCAGATCTTCCCAACCCAGGAATTGAACCAGGGTCTCCTGCATTGCAGGTGAACTTTTTACCAACTGAGTTATCAGGGAAGCCCCTTTCATGGTAGCCCGAGGTAGATGAAAAAAATTAATATTTGAAATTTTTCTGCTAATTTCTTCACAAGCAATATTTTGTTCAAATCTAGGTTTCCAAACTAGAAAAATGTGTAATTTTTTTTTTAAAGAGGGGATACATTTTCCATCCAGATGGAATGTTGTTAATCAAAGGCTACTTTGGTATATTGGTAACTAGGTGATGGGTCAGAAACCTGTTTGCAATCTTACCTGATATCCACCAATACAGAGACATGATATAATATCCAAATATGAATACTACTATTTCAGGTTAAATTATTATTAAGTTCCCTTTATTTCTTGAGGACAAATAAGTTTAATGTCCACATTTCATGATCTTTGTTTCTACGGGATAAGCGGTTGCTGTCCAGTTTCCCTCAATCTGTGTAAATATACTTCATTAAAGATGTTTGTGTTTTAGATTGGGCTTCCCAGGTGGCGCTAGTGGTAAAGAACCCGCCTGACAATGCAAGTAGAAGGGAGAGATGAGGGTTCAATCCCTGGGTCAGGAAGATGCCCTGGAGGAGGGCACAGCAACCCACTCCAATATTCTTGCCTGGAGAATGCCATGGAAAGAAAAGCCTCATTAATAGGTGTAATAATGTAGTCTTCCTTTTTAAAGTTTTAGCTTCATTATTTTTAAATCATCTGAAGTTGGCTCAAGTCTCTAGAAACTATCATATTATTAATGATGAAAAAATACTTCATAACTGAAAACAAATGCTGTCTTTCTTTAGAAACTGGTGAGGCGTTTGAAGGAAAAAAAAGACACTTGTATGGATCCAGAGATCTTTCCAATGGTCCTATTCCAAAATGATCAGAATGGTTGGATGCAGAGAACCAATCTCTTCTGGTTACTTTTTCATGAGAATTCCCATTGATCAATGAGGACAGTGTGTCCAGTAATATGAGCATTGAAAACCAACATAGTTAGTGGGACTGTTTAGTCTCCATGACTGTTCTTGACCAGCTTCAAAATATTATTGTATAATAAATTCTAAATTACTCATATAAAATCTCCACGATTTCTAGAACTTGCTTGGGAATTAAGAATCAGTAGCCCAGCCTCTGACATTAACCTTTTTTGTTTCTTTGCCCTTTAAATTTAAAGTTTGTTTTAGATTTATTTAAAAATTACTTTTGTAGTAGAAATTCCAGGCACTTTGATCATTTCCTAACCTACTGGTGAATTTTGAGTTACCATCTCAATATCTAGTCCTTCAAATTTTCTCACCAATAGTACCCAAATATTCCTTTCTGGAATTCAGCCGATTTCTGACTTTTACCTTTGACCTAGCAGCACCAGGAATGGGCCAGCTGATCAACACTTCCCAGCACCAACTCATCCCCATCATCACACACGGACAGTTCAGGGAAAAATATGTGACTCAACAAGAGCTGGTGAGAGAATGAATCCCATGGCTTGGGTGGGGAACACAGACTACTCTAAAGCAAAGAGAGATGAGGTCCTAAGGAAGAGCCAAGAGTTTCTGGGAGGCGCAGTGTGGCCTAAAGCCAAAACCAACACTGCAGAAAAACAGAAAAGAGAAAGAGAAATTGTGAAAATGTTATGTGTTAAGGGTTTAGACCAAGCTTGACTTCTACATATATTTACAGACTTCTCAGTTATGTGACCCATTAAATTTATTTCACTATTTAAATCTCTTTTCATCACATTTTCCATAGATAATGGAAATGGAGATAACTTTTCTGAGCCTCAATATTTTTTTTTTTTAATCAGTAAAGCAATGTTAGTATTACCCATCTCATCAGGTATTTGTGATGGTTAAATCAGATAACATCTGTAAAGCATGTGTTATGTGCTGAGTATCAGCATTACATAGTTCTTGAACTTTTAATTTAACTATTTAATCCAGTTTGCTTTTCTTCTCTCCTCACAGACTTCTGGAAACTGATGTATCAGACCAATGAACACTCCATTGATCAAGGATGTTTTCAGAGAAGGGGTGGTGTAGGAATAGGAGTGAAGTCATTTCCAAGGCCACAAAATTCCCAGTGGCTCCCCTGAGATCTGATCCTACACTAGTGCCTTTCCTAGGGAGCATTAGCGGTCAGCCAGGTTGATGTATGTCTGGGAGAAAATCACTGACAGCTCCTCAAGGTGAGTGGTAAGACAACTGGAAGACAAACTGGAATTTTCTAAGAAGAACATCCTGGAGGGGCAACATGTAACCCCAACGGATACTCTGTTTTCCCGGGATCTCAAGCTTCCTCAAGACAATACACTTCAAATACAGATGTTTAAAATGGCTCTTGCTTTTGATGAGAAAAATCTTAGGGACCTACCAATGAAAAAGATGCCCCATTTAACCTATGTCAAAGAGTTACACTTAACTGTGAGGTAATTTTTTCATTCACTACACAACTCTGGAACAGGAAGGGATGAGTTCATTCAAATTCTCATTTGACAGAGGAGAGAAGGAGGCCCAGAGTGGGGAGGGAACTTGCCCAAGCCCCACCGTCAGCTGAGGGCAGAGTCAGGGCTGCCAATGCCCAGGTTCAGTTCAGTTCAGTTCAGTCGCAGTCGTGTCCGACTCTTTGCGATCCCTTGAATCGCAGCACGCCAAGCCTCTCTGTCCATCACCAACTCCCGAAGTTTACTCAAACTCATGTCCATCGAGTCGGTGATGCCATCCAGCCATCTCATCCTCTGTCTGTCCCCTTCTCCTCCTGTCCCCAATCCCTCCCAGCATCAGGGTCTTTTCCAATGAGTCAACTCTTCACATCAGGTGGCCAAAGTATTGGAGTTTCAGCTTCAGCATCAGTCCTTCCAATGAACACCCAGGTCTGATCTCCTTTAGGATGGACTGGTTGGATCTCCTTGCAGTCCAAGGGACTCTCAAGAGTCTTCTCCAACACCACAGTTCAAAAGCATCAATTCTTCGGTGCTCAGCTTTCTTCACAGTCCAGCTCTCACATCCATACATGACCACTGGAAACACCATAGCCTTGACCAGACGGACCTTTGTTGGCAAAGTAATGTCTCTGCTTTTTAATAGGCTGTCTAGGTTGGTCATAACTTTCCTTCCAAGGAGTAAGCGTCTTTTAATTTCATGGCTGTAGTCACCATCTGCAGTGATTTTGGAGCCCCCCAAAATAAAGTCATCCACTGTTTCCACTATTTCCCCATCAATTTGCCATGAAGTTTTGGGACCAGATGCCATGATTTTAGTTTTCTGAATGTTGAGCTTTAGTCCTCTTTAAATAGACTGTTCTCCACCCTGGCCCCTGCCTAGCAGACTTCACTTTCTCTTACAAACCAAGTGTCTGGCAGACACATAAACACCCATCAGGTCTAACAAGCATAGTGAGTTTTGTCCTCTGTGAGTCAGCGCTGAGTCTCACGGATACGTCTCCCTGCTGCTGCGCACTCACCGAGCAACTCACATAACAGGCACGTCTGATGTCTCGGACAGGGCTGGTTTCACAACCTCAGTACCACTCAATTTTGGCTGAATAATCTTTGTCTAGTGGCAGAGGACAAAATGGGGGGACTCGGGGGTCCGCTGCAGGATGTTTAGCATGATCCCTCTATCCACTAGAAGCCAGAGGCACCCGTTCAGTTTCAAAGGCTAAAAATGTCCCCAGATTCTGTCACATGTCCTGGGGAAGGGGTGCAAAATCAACCCACTGAGGACCACTGCTGCAGACAGGGGCCTCTGTGGACTGGGTGGTCCTGAAACCATACTCTCTTGCAAGGGCAGTCCTTCATGCAGGGAGGGGAAAGACTGGATGAAAGATGTGATGTTTACTTGGGATGTAGAGTATTTCTTTTCAGGCAAGTTAAAAAAGTGTCAGACTTCTACAGAACAGACCCTATTTCTTTACCTGATGGGTATTCTAGGTGGAGAGCGAAGACCAAATCTAAAAGGGTTTGATATCTTATTACTACAACAACAAGAAACTATACATTAAATAAGAAAAATTAATAAATGAGATAATAACTTCTATGATGCAAGGGGATGACTATCCAGAGTCTTTGGAAAATAAGGGGTTGAACACGCATGAATGCTGGGTCCCATCAAATTCCCAGGCTTTCCTGTTTCCTGGAGGTCCTCACAGAAGGAGCACACAGTGTTGTCACTCCTAAGAACCTCTGCCGAGCTCCTCGGGGCTGTGGATGTGGAACCCTAGGGCAGAAGCTGGGCTAGACAATAGAAGAGAAGAAGGATAACAATGAGATGTAGAAATATGGAAAAAAGGAAACAGAAGAAGCAGGAGAAAAAAGGGAAAAAGAGAGTAGGTATAAAATAAAACTTGCCAGAGAATTCTAGCCCCAGCCCTAAAGAAAATATTTTTTTAAAAAATTAGATTTTCTCATCATGGATTCTTTTGGGGGGAACCAACGTGAAATATTTCTCATTCAGAAAGTCTTGCATTAAAACAGCAATTGTGTTGCTGTCATTTAGAATACTTAACTTTGTCAAATTCACATTATTAAACCTGATAGAACAAGAAATAATACCAAATACTGTATCAATCCTGCATAATCGGTCCTTCTGAATATTATGTTCTGCTGCTATTCCAAGCTGTCCTTGGAGAT